GTGTGTGTGTGTGTGTGTGTGTGTGTGTGTGTGTGTGTGTGCACTTTAGTATTCTGCCCAAAGCTCCAGACTATTCTGGTCCCATAAAAAACAGAGAAAACATTTTCATAAATTTATCATTTTACATGATATAAAAAGTGGATCTGTCCAGACCAATTAGGACGTTTGATCCCCCTAAACCGGCTCAATGTCCCAGATGTGTGACGTCCAGCTTGAATACATCATTACAACTGTGTCTCTTCTGGGTTAAACCATTTAAATCGGGACTCTGGTGACACAGGGAAGTTTAAACAGATTATTTTCCAGGCTCATAAAGGGATTTACAGGCAGGAATTCTTATTTTTACCACCAAAACTCAGTAAATGAAGCTGGTTTTAAAGGCAAACTTCTGTCTTCTGCTTTATAAACTCACAAAAGACATTTAAAACCTTAATACAGCCTTTTGTTTGCATTCACTTTAACTTCCAAAACTAACAACTCTCATCAGAAATGGGAATAATAATAATAATCCAGAGGATGGACAGAGGGATGTTGGGCATCGTTTGATTGTTTGACCATAATTTTTGTAATCAAACCCTCAATTTATTCTGCCTCCATCCATTTTCTGCCTGGTGCTTGACATCTCCGGCAGAATAATCAATACTTCCCGTGTGGCTCTCTCTCCCTGATTGGCAGCGGTGTAGAAAATGGAAAAAAGGGGGAAAAGGACTGAAATATCTATTGATTTATTGATCTACCTTTTTGTCTTAATGGGCTTGGAGGAGAACAAAGAGCTTTGGGCTTGGAGAAAAAAAAAAACGTTTATCACAAAGGCTCTAAAACAATCAGAAATCTGCAACTGTCTCAGTGTTATCAGTACAAATATTTGTTTATTTTATCGACTTTATGGTTAATGTTGTTTGGGAAATGCCTGATCGGGTCAGGATTCAGGAACAAAAGTTTAAAAATGTCCCGAGACGTTCTCACGAAACGGTTTTAATTATTCGTCCGAAATCAAGTTATCACAAAGGCTCTAAAACAATCAGAAATCTGGAACTGTCTCAGTGTTATTGGTACAAATATTAGTTTATTTTAGAGACTTTATGGTTTGGGAAATGCCTGATCGGGTCAGGATTCAGGAACAAAATCTTAAAAATGTCCCGGAGACGTTCTCACGAAACGGTTTTAATTATGCGTCCGAAATCAAGTTATCACAAAGGCTCTAAAACAATCAGAAATCTGGAACTATCTCAGTGTTATCGGTACAAATATTAGTTTATTTTAGAGACTTCGTTGTTAATGTTGTTTGGGAAATGCCTGATCGGGTCAGGATTCAGGAACAAAAGCTTAAAAATGTCCCGGAGACGTTCTCACGAAACAGTTTTAATTATTCGTCCGAAATCAAGTTATCACAAAGGCTTTAAAACAATCAGAAATCTGGAACTATCTCGGTGTTATTGGTACAAATATTAGTTTATTTTATCGACTTTATGGTTTGGGAAATGCCTGATCGGGTCAGGATTCAGGAACAAAAGCTTAAAAATGCCCCGGAGACGTTCTCACGAAACGGTTTTAATTATGCGTCCGAAAATCAAGTTCAAGGGGGTTTTGTTGTTTGTTGGATTGATGGAGGTCTGAACTTTCACACAGTCTGAGTGGGGGTCCACGGTCACGGTCACACGGAGGCACAAAGGGGAAGACAAAGCTTTTTTTGGGGGGAGGTTGCATGCAGCCAGATAGGAGCTTTGGCTCGGGGTGACCTGTGACCTTTGACCCCTGACGGCAGGATTAGGGGCGTGGAGGAGGGATGAAATCAGCCAGATGAGGAGGAGGAGGATGGAGAAAGATGGAGAAAGGGAAGGGGGCGTGGTCCAGAAGACGGATGGGGACAGGGTCACACACATTTGCATTTCTCAGAGGTTTTAGGGTCCCGGTCGCCCTAAAATCCCCCTGTTTTTGTCCGTCGTTTATCAGAGGTTTCTCAGCTCAATCGAGCAGAAACATCACAGAAACATTCAGATGGTCCGAGATTTAATCCGTAACCCTTTAAAGCCCGATCCAAGACAAAAAAAAAACTGAAAAAATGACTTTTTTTGTATTTGTTTTAAGTGTTTATTTGGCCTTTTAACAAAATATGTAAAAAGAAAAAACAAAAATAAATCTTTAATATTAATAATTTATTATTAATAAATTATTTAATATAATTTATCAGGTGTATCTGATTGTGTAAAGTAGGATTTTGAGCAAAGTTTTTACCATTAAATTAAACAAAAGGTGTCAGACGCAAAACATTTCAGAAACCGTATATATCAAATATGATCCATTTGGCATTTTAATCTTAAAAGCTTTTGTAGATGGAAGAGTTTATGAAATATATGGTTTAAGGGTTTTAGAGGAGCTTAGAGGCAAGAAACGATATCTGCCAGCCAAATAATTCACATTATGACTAAATAATGTTGCTGCTTAGTTAAAAACAGGCCTGAAAGAGGCAAAAAGCCATCTATCTTATCACAGTCTTACTGAGTTTAGATGTAGGCTTTAGCCTTGCATTATACATCAGAATGGCCCATTAAATTCAGATTTTGTTCCCCCTGAATGTTTTCTGATGAGTGTCATCAGTAAACTTTAGCTCTGAACCTTCTTCTCTCTTTACTGATACAGCAGAACCTCTATATAGGAGTTTAACTTGTTCCGGGACCAACTTTGTATGTTTAAATATTCATATGTTGGTTCAAATATTCCCATCAGAATACTCTGTAATTCCTAGAATTGGTTCCAAAAACCTACGATAACTCCTTAATAGATACTACAGATAATTGCACAAATCAATCAAACAAATGACTTATATAGGAGATGTAAAAATAAATAAATTATAATGAAAAAATCACTAACTCCTTAATAAATACTGCAGATAATTACACATAGCAATAAAACAAATGACTTATATAGGAGATGTAAAAAGAAATAAATTATAATGAAAAAATCACTAACTCCTTAATAAATACTGCAGATAATTACACATAGCAATAAAACAAATTACTTATATAACAGAGATGGAAAAGGAAATAGATTAGTTAGCTTAGT